GTAGCAGAGAACCCCACTTTTGTTTTTTCTTTTAAAGATTGCTTGGATAGAGATGCCTGGGTGGCTCAGTCAGTTAGGTGTCTGTCTCCCACTCAGGTCATGATCCCCAGGGTCCTGGGATTGAGCCCCGCATCGGGCTCCCTGCTCAGAGGGGAATCTGCTTTTCCTTCTCTCTCTGCCCCTCCCCCTGCTCATGCTCACTCGCTCTCTCTCTCTCTCTCTCTCTCAAAGCAATTAAAATCTTAAAAAAAATTACTTGGCTATTCTAGTTCCTTTACCTCTCCATATGAATTTTAGAATCAGCTTGTCTCTATCTGCAAAGAAAAAAAAAAAAAAATCCCGACACAATCTTGATTCAGATTGCATTGACTCTAAAGTCAGTTCAGAGAGAACCAATATCTTAACCGTATTCAATCTTCCGATCCATGAACATGGTAAATGTCTCAATTTGGTGATTTCTTTCACCAGCATTTTGTGCTTTAGAGATGTGTGTAGAGATTATGTGCATATTCTGTCACATTTGTACCTCAGTATTTCCGTGTTGGTGCTGTTGTAAATGGTGTTATCTTTTGATTTGGCGTTGTCTTTTTAATTTCAATTTCCAAAGCTTAGATGTTACTATCCAGGAGTACAATTGATTTTTGTATATTGATCATGTATCCTGTAACCTATGTAGCCTCATTCATTAGTACTAGAACATTTTTTGGGGTAGAATTCTTGGGCTTTTCTACATAAATAATCATGTTGTCTGTGAATAGAGAACATTTTATTTTTTTCTTTACAATCAGTAGGCCTTTTATATCTTTTTCTTGCCTCACTGTATTGGCTAGGACCTTTAGTAGGATGTTAAATAGGAGGGCTAGGAACAACCACCTTTGCTTTGTTCCTAGTCTTCGAAGAAAATCATTCGCCACCACCACGACACCATTTCACCACTAAGTATGGTTATTAGGTTGTTATTAGATTAAGGAAGTTCAGTAAGGCTTCGGTTGTTGTTGCTTTTTTTAATCAAGAGTGTATATTGAATTTTGTCAAATGCCATTTCTGCATCTATCGAAATAATTTTGCAGCACCTCACAGATTTGCTTATTTTTGTTTTCATTTTTATTTAATTCAGAATATTTTCTAATTTTCCATGTGGTTTTCTCTTTATTAATGAGATTGCTTAATTTCCAAGTATTTGTAAAATTTCCAGATACTTTTCTATTATTAATTTCTAATTCAATTCTGTTACAGTCTAAAAACCTATTTTCTATTATTTAAATTATTTTAAATTGGTTAAGGTATTTTTAGGCCCACAAAATTATCTTTCTTGATGAATGTTCCATGTGCACTTGAAAATGATACACATTTCATTATTTTGAGGTGAAATATTTTATTAAGATCAATTAAGCCAAGTTAGTTGATAATGTTCAGGTCTTCTCTATATTTATTCGTTTTCTGTCTTCTTACTCTACTGATCGCTGAGAGGGGAGTGTTGTGGATTCGTGTATTTCTCCATTCAGTTCTATCAGGTTTTGGTTCAAAAACAAGTACTTCTTCCATATTTATGGTCCTGTGTGGATGTCAGGACACTCCTTCTCAATTGTGGCATCCAGGCCAATATGACTATTTCTATTTTTTGGGTGAGAAGATTGAGGAAGAGCTGGTGATTTGCCTATTGGGTCTCAGAGCTAATCTCCTGACTTTTCTGTTCTGTATTGCAAGGCACCCATATCTGCCAAAAGTAGGCATGGGCCTGAAATCAGGGGGGCAGAAAGAGAGGAGTGATTTTCTCTCTCTCTGCTTTGGGTAGCATCCCCAGCGACAGACGTGTTTCTCTTGTGGTCTGAATTCCTCAGATACCTTCCTCAATGCTCCTATTTCCTCAGGTCTGTCACTCCTCACCCTGTCCTTCCTCTTAACAGGTAGTAGTGGTTTCCAGTTTACACCTAATCTCTGGGTTGCCTCACGTCCCTTGCCTCACTTGCATTTTAACTCTTGCAACATTATAGCCAGTATCATCAGTAAAATCCCTGCTACTGAAACATGGGCGGAGGCTATTTCTCTGGACCTAGACTGATACAGACCATATGGGAAGGCTGAATGAGAGCCCAGAGCTGAAGCCTCCTGATTCAAATGTCAGCATCTTCCCACCACCCTTTTCTGGCCCAAAGGGAGCATCAGAAGAAAGAGACTACCTTCTGATCAACCAGGAGGGCAATCTTTGATCTAAGTCACACATATTTTAGAGGAATGTAAAAACAAATTCTTTTTCATACATAATCAGTTTTCCAAGAAAGCCATCTCACATTCATTGGCATCCCCCTTTTGTGTTAATGCAACACATTATCATTTAGAACTTTGAATCTTCCTCACATATATCCCCATCCCTCCCATGTGTTCTTTCGGAACAGGCATTGGGTAAGTCATAAGAAAGTGAAGTGACTTTGGGGAGACCCGCAGAACAGAAGATAAGTACTAAATAAGACCCAGGGCTGAGACTGGGGCAGGATTCCAGCTGGAGTGGTTGGTGGTGCCAAAGAGAAGATGGGATGGCTTTAACCTGAGCAGCAAATCAGGGGTCATGGGATCCAGTGATGTCTGAGAGGTTTGGCAACTTCCCCAAGGCCAGAAGACTGGTAACTGATGGGGAGGGGAGGATCTCTTTGGCAGTTTCCAGAGAGGGTGCAGAGACTAGATTGGAGTTGGGGCCACAGAGAAGGGAAGACAACACCTGACCCAGTCACGGGTCCCGCCCAACATTCCAAGGCAGTAGGGACAGGATTTGCTGATCTAGGTCTTGCCATAAGTTGATGAGACAGAAATGAATGCACATGGAGCATCTGTCACAAAAGACCTTTAATGGTCTCCTATTTATGGTTCTCTTGTTCATTTGTCCTGTTAGAGTTGAATAAACTGTAATAACTTATCTGACATAATAAGGAATGCCACAGGTACAACAGATAAACCTGGCAGGTGGCCCAGGAAAGAGGGTGTCACAAAATAATCACTTAACAGAAGGGCTACAGACCTGGAGACCTGTCCCAGCCACCTGTCACTCCCTGTGTCCAGGATCCACAGTCACTGTGCCAGGCTGAATGCTGGCTCCCATCGGGTAGGAAGAGGAGGAATCTCCCATAGCATCTGTGGCTGGACCTTAGGGCTGAGCAGAGATGGGAAGCAGAGTAGAGTCTGGGAAGCACAGAGTATGGGAAGATGGCATTATCCCATACTCATTCCCTCAAATGCTCTGCTGATCTGAGGTGCAGGCCATGACCACACCCCGAGTTTGTGCAGTTCCCACCTCTCATAGGACATCACCTATCATACCCCCCATGACCTCCCCTTTCAGTAATCTGCCAGGTGGTCAGAGCGCGGCACAAGCCCCATCTTACACACTGGGGAAACTGAGGTCAGTGGGATACCCAAGAGCGTACTCGGACTGAACATAGAATTCTCTTTCTCCCATGCCACATGGTCTGCTGGGCCCTGAGACCCGCATTTTCACCTAGAATGCTCTCAGTGAGGGCCCCAGGCAGGATTCTGTATCAAGAGCTGGTCCGGGTCTCACCAATGTGCCACCCCTCAGCCAGCCCTGGTGGGGGTCCTGGACAGATGGACAGGTTGACAGAGACTGTGGGTGGAGGACCAACATCTCTTCCAGAACCTTCCTGTTGCCCACATATTTGCTTGTCCACAGATGTGGGAGTGGAAGCCTAGTAGGATTTCTCAAGGGAAACTGGCTGCTTTAAAGGTCTCTCGAGGGACCCTGTTGTGTCCTCATGGAGGGACTTCTGTATAATGTCCTCCCTCAATTTTCTTTTGTGAGAACCCGGACATCCATCCATCTGGCTGTATGTAAATAGGAACCTGAGTCTAGTTTCTCCTTCTCCCATCACGTGTCCCATAGGCCTGGGCCAGGGAAGTGGGGTGCAGACAGAAGTTGTGAGGTGGGGGCTGGGCCTATTTCCTTGCTCCGTCGTCCCCCACACTGCATGGCTGGTACCAAGGTAAGACCAAATCAAACCCAGGCCAGAGAAGCTTCCATGGTGGATGAGCTACAAAACCATCAAACGAGTACGTGTGTTTGTGTAAGCAAATGCTTGGACTTGGGTCTGCAACCCAAGTTCCAGTACAAGCCACTTTGTACTGGAATGCTAAAGCCATTCCAACATGAAAAGCAGGAAGAGAACCTGTGCTTGCTGGTTGAAGATCAAACCTCAGAATGGTGGTTTGAAGAAGCTTTTCTTCAAAAGTTTGAAGGTGTAACCTCAAGAGGCAAGACAGATAAAAGCAGAGTTGTCCTGGTGGAAGTGGGGATGGGGGAGAGCTGGAGACCGAGCCTTTGCCTCCACCCCCACTGTCCCACCTTAGAAGCCCCTGGCGAAGCTCTGTGGAACTCCAGGGGTTCCACAGCACCTGGTTTGAAAAACCACTGCATCAGAGTGTCTATAGATCATGGGTCCTGGGGACCTGTGCTTTGATTTCCCTTTCGGAGAGAGTGCTGGGGTGGGAGGGTGCTCCCCCTTTGTTGGGCCTCTCGTTGAAGCCACTGTGTAGGGGAGTGGAAGAGGTGGGGATCCTGCCCCACAGGTAGGCCATTTCAGCCTTGGATGGGGGACAGAAGCGATGGACCTCCCTGGACCGGGATGGCAAAATGCCATCAGACTGCTCGACTCAGCCTTATGCATGAGGGTCGGAGAGTCTATTTTGGTCCTTTTTTACTTTAAAAAGAAAAAAAAAAAAACATTAGAACATAAGCCTGTGCCCATGAGACCCTATAATACAAGATTGGGGCCAATGCCTTCCTCTGGGATGGGTGGAGAATGTCCAGTCCCGTCACTGGCAGGAGAGGATGCCTTTGTGGGAGGCTGTAACCATGGGGAGTGAATGGGTCCACAGGGGCTCAGCTCTCCGGGGAATGGGCCTGGGTTTCCCCTGGACCCGAATCCCTTCCAAGTATCACGAAGGAGCATCTTCAGCTGTGCTCGATCCTGGATTGGGGGGGGGGGGCTTCTACTTTGAAGGACAATTTCTGTTCCACCTCAGCCTTGGGGTTCTTTGATGGAATGATAGTTCAGCCCTCCCTGGGCCTGGAAGTGGGTGGCTCTCCCTCATCTGGGATCAGAGCCTGTCCTCTGTGGGATCTGAAAGACGGGAGATGGGGTCCACCAGGCCTGGAAGGATCCAGGATGCTCCCTGCCCAAGCCCAATCACTGGCAATATCCATGGCTTGTCTCTCTGTCATGATTGCTGGGACCACTATCTGTGGGCAAGGCATTCCTGAGCAGTGTCCACATTTGTCTCTCAGCTGGGTCACCAAAGCCAAGCTAACTGCATCTCCTCCTGGTTGACATCTGCCTAAGGGAGAAGGGGGCAAGAGATGAAGACCGGTGGGAGGAGGACACAGCCCGCAGCAATCTTCCTGTGTGACTCGGAGCTACAGAGCTGACTCTCGTCTCTTCTGGGCTTCAGATCCCTTGCATCAGGTGGGGAAGGGATTACAGTCTCATTTTCTAGTTAGGGAAACTGAGCCCAAGAGGGTGAGAGACTTGCTCAAGGCTACTCAGCTGGTTGGTGACAACTGGGCTGGAGACACCGTGGGCTTCCAGGCCAGCATGCTTTTCACGGCACCGTGTGGGAACCAGCTTGTCAGGGACAAGCCGAGCAGCTGAAGCAACCCCACCCTCCACCTGGTGTGCCTATGGAGGCCGACCGAATAATTCAGCCCTTCTCTTCACAGGACTTCACCCTTCTCGTGGTTGGAAAGCTGAGGGAGCCCAGCTGGCCTCCGCCTGTAGATTTTCCCCCAGCACCAGCCTCTCCTTCCTGCCCAGACTGCTCTCTCTATGCCACCCACATGGGGCACTGGGAGGTACCAGTGCGGAGCCCTGGGGTCAGCACAGAGCCAACACTGTGGGGTCTGGAGCCAACCGGAAGCCTTGAAAGATGATATGGGTCTTTCTCTCAGGAAGAGACCCAAGGAAACACTCCAGCCTGTGTTGCACCCGGCTGGGGCGAGTGGGGCTGAACTCCAGCCTATGTGCCATTCTCAAAGCTGAGCATTCTAAAATGGACGGAACCCACCTGGAAGGGGACTGTTTCTATTTCACATCAAGGCACTGTATGGACTAGCAGCAGCCAAGGACCCCTGACTCCAATGGCCCCCATTTCTTCCCCCTAGAACTTTCACCTGACCGTGAGCTTCCTGAGGACAGAGGCCACCTTTCTGCAGCCCTGGGCCCAAAGTGTAAAGGTCTAGATGGGAGTATGGTACTTCCTGCAGCTGGGGGAATCAGTCAGACATGGACAAATCCGAAAGGGGGAGTGTGATGTTGAGGTGAAGAAGCTCCAGAAACCAGAGTGACAAATCCGTGTGCACAGCTGAGGGATGGAGGAAGAGGCCGGTTGTTAGGGGAGTGATCCCCTCAAATCCTCGTACCAGCCTCAAAGTTCCCAGAGGGAAGACACAGGAGAGCATATGCTTGGCATGGGTTCCAGCCCTTCATCAACTCTTCAACTGTCCAAGGAGGTGTGAACTGCCAGCAAGTTCTGGTAGGGGCTGGATGCCTGGGGTACCCACAGCCTAGGACCCTAGAACTGGCCAGGAGATTATGGCCGCTGCAAGCTGACTTGGCCTGCCATGGGGTAGGGCTCCCTAGAATTGCAACTTCATGAGATTCAGAAGGGTAAGGGCCAGGGTGCTGAGCTGGGCTTGTGAACTGGGCACTCTCGCCATGGAGAATGGTTACCCAGCCCACCCCAGGAGGAGCTGCCCTGAAAAGGGTGGAGTCCCCATAATAACATTTTGTTGTTTCCTTTTCCAGGCAAGCATGGGACACAGATAAAAGGGAGCAGGTATGGAGGAGATATTCCCCTTGCCCTGCTAAGAAATATATTTGCTTGTGTATACGGTGAGCCTTAGGGGGTCTGCAGCCACAGGGAGCTGTGAGGTACCCAAGGCACTATCATAAACAAATCTAAGCTTTGTCTTCTTTAATACTGGGTCTTAGGGCCAAGCAGCTCATGCTAGCTACGGCCACAGCTTAACATCAGATGACCCTCCAATGGCCCAAGAAGGGCCTGGGAATGGATGGGCTAGGAGGTCTCCAGGGCCCTGCCAATTCTGGGGCCCTGAATCATCTCTGGAGGCAGAGAGACCAGAGTCAGTGGTCTGGATGGTTTCACCCATCATACCAGAAGCTCTAAGGTTTACAAATTCTTGGAGGCCAGAGTTGGGAGTTCCCTTGGTGATCATCTGGTCAAACCCTTTGGTCTTCTAGGTGAAGAACTGAGGCCCAGAGAGAGAAAGAAACTTGCCCAAGGTCACACAGTAAGTGGGCATCAAAGACCAGACAAGAACGAATACCTTTTATCACTTTCTGCCTCATCATCTGCCTTGCCCTGTCCCAGGCCCCAATCACATCAACCCCAGCCAGTGGGTACCGGGCATCCATGACACCAGGACCTACTGGGGGGTCATTAAATCCCCAAGGAAATGAAGGGTTCCTTGCTACCCAGCAGCCCCCTTCCTTTTAGGGGAGGGCATCTTGATGGACCACGCCACCTCCTGGGGCAGAAGGCCCTTTGACTGTGGGCGTGATGACCCCCACGCACACTCTCCCAACCTGCAGGGCCAGCCCAGCTCAGCCCTGGAGGGCTGTGAAGGGAGGTAGTAGGGGACCGGATCGGTGTCCCCAGCCCCATCTGGACCTCCAGCCTTACTTCCTGTGGGATCACTGATTGCTCTTAAGTCTGCAAAGGAGGGAATTGAACAGATACTCATCTTCCTGCCCCTAAACCCCATCTCTCGGAGCCACCCTTCTGGAAAAGCCCCCAGGAGCTTGGCCTCACTATGCGGCCTGTTGGTGCTTTGCGAAGACTCCTCCCTTCTCCCTCTGTGCATGTGTATAGATAGGACACATGCATAAGGTACAAGGTAGCTGGGATGTCACATCCTGAGAGGACTGAATTAGACTTGGGCTAGTTCACACAGCTTGCCTTAGACTGGGTTACTGCTGGTAAGAAAGTCAGTCCAGTGGTTTTTCTCTACTCCTGGGGTCTGTGAACCTTCACCAATGTCACTGTGAGACACAGAGGGACACAGGACGGGGATGGAGGGGTGGAAGGGGAGAGGTGTTTGGTGGGTCTGGACTGTAAAAAGCATTGAGAATCAATCCACAGGTGTGCCTCTCATGGCCAGAAGAGGGTGGCCCTCAGCGTGGTCATCTTTTAGCTGCCAGAGCTGCGCCAGCCACCTGGGGCCACAGGCATCCTCTCCCGTATCTTGAGCCCTCTGCCCCACCCTCCCCGTTCTGATCCTCATCCCAAGTAAAATCCCAAGGCCAGAGCCTGGATGGCCTTTCTGGGGGTCAGCAGGAGAAGAGAAGAGTCTGGAGGGTGACCCATGAGTGGGGTGATGGGGGGAAGGTGGTCCTCGTGACCCTGTTGGCGTGGTGATGTGGGGCCAATCCTGAGGCCAGAGGTTCACCACCATGACCTGGAAGACCGCTGGGCCCCCCCACCCCCCGGAAGGAACTAGAAGGACAAGGGGGAGGGGTAATAAGGACAGGAAGAAGACGAATAAGCATCCTAGTGCATGAACGCGGACCTGGAGCTGCCCAGAGGAAGGGCCAGCCCCAGTCTATCTGTCATTGAGCTGTGGCGAGCCAGTACCATCCTCCTCCTCCTCCTTGTCGTCCTTCATGCCTTTCAGTCTCTGGCGGGCAAAGTCCTCAAACACGATGTCATCATCACTGGTGGGAAAGACAAGGAAAATGGGGCCTGTTTGCCAGGCAGGGAAGCAGGCAACCCCAGAGGTTCAGAGGGGACTCAGAGGCCGGTCCCCAGGGTAGCCTGTGGACAGAAAGGCCTTCCAGGCTGGCATGTCTAGATGCCCTCTGGAGACAGTGGGACTGGTCGCATCTGGGCTCCAGCTAGTTGTGGAAATCCCAGAGGGATGCATGAGTTCAACTCTCATGCCTAAGGGCTGGAAAGTGACCAGGACTGGACAGTGACCCGGTTCTGAAGGATCTGGGAGTGGGGGAGATATCAAAGAGGGATGGAGGTGCAGTGTGGCTAGGCTGGGGCCAGAGGGAAAACTTAGTCCTACCGGAAGAGGCCAGGCCACCAGTCGTTTCCCAGCATATTTCAAATCCCTCAGAACCGGCCCAAGAAACCCTACCACCCACCAAAAGAACTACCCTCAGGAAGAATTCTTGTTTCTGCACAGCACCGTGTGGGCTTGGCTTGGTGGAAGAGAAAACCACAAACGCCCTTTCTCCAGGGAGCTGTCAGCCCACTCTACCCTGAGTGATCTTGGATAGGAGGGAGTCTGGGGTAGCAAATCTAAATTGTGGGGTTAGAGGAAGGGTAGGTGGGGAAAGCGGGCACCTGAGTGGGCTTTTAGGACGAAGACTGCTTCTAAGAACAGTGAGTTCTGTTCTATCACGTAACATGTAGAGTTAAGCCCACCAAGTCCCCCACCCCACAGAATTCAGCCAGCCCTGTGAGACATCCTCATGGCATGACTTGAGACCCCACACCCCAAATATCTCCTGGGAGACAATGAAAGGGTGGATTTGGAGCTGGAGAGAAAGCTGCTTGGCTCTGGAGGTGGTTCAGGAAGTCCGCCCAGGTCCTCCCCCTCTGGTCACTGTCCGGTGAGGTGATGGCCTTTGACAGCAGGGAAATCCGCATCTGTCCTCAGGAGTCAGAAGCAACAAGAGCTCCCAGAACCTTCCCCACCCCACAGCCTGATTCCACTGGCTGGGTGCGGGCAGGGCTGGAGAGCCGGACCCAGGGCCCCCGAACCCAATCAGCCCTGTGAAAGCTGAGCAGGCGCTGTGGATGGACGAACGGATTGACGGACGGACGTGCAAGGATGAGGGAGGAAGACAGACCCCACCAAGGCAGGAGGAAGAGGAACAGGCACGGAGGGTCCTTCAAGTCACATGCAGGCAAGCAGGTTGCTGAAGAGGCGAGCAGAGGCAGCTCTCAGCACATGGGGTTAGACCGGCTGTTCCTCAGGGGTTAATAAGCATATACACAAATGACCCCATTGCCCGCCTCCATCCCAGCCCCCCCCCCCCCGCCCCCTTGATGTCTGCGGGCAGGGTTTAGCTTACTTTGTGTCAAGTTCTATGAGATTGGTATCTACTGGCGCCTCGTTCTCTGGAACTAAACACAGGGGGGGGGGGGCAGAGGCCCGTGGGTTAGTGGGCAGGGCAGGGCTCACGGGGCAAATGGACACAGGTCCCCACCCTAAGACAACCAAGCTAAGGTGGGGAGGGCTAAGAAAGAAGGGAGGTGGGGAAGAAGTGTTGGTCCCTGGTCTTGAAAACACCCCCAAATCATCCTAATGGCAGGAAGGAGAGTCCAGGGAGGGTCCAAGGAGGCCCCAGAGGCCCCTAGCAGCTCCAGGACAGAAAAACCTCTGGACTCTGCTCTTTGGCATGTGTCCTGCATGACTTAGATTCTTTTCTTAAATACATGACTTGCATTTAGTGTTAAGACAACCATTACTTTTCCCCCCACACCTGCACACCTGCACATCTCTGAACTCGGGGTGTATTTTACAACCAATGGCATTTCACAGTTTAATTGTAGGAACATTCTTCTTTCTTTGTGGTACAGACTATAGTGTTGCCTCTTTCAACTTTAACAGTCTTAGATTTACAGAAATATGACCAATCTGGTATCACTTTGAAAAATCACTAAGATATGTCCAGGGACCATCTTAATCTGCGCAGCCCCCTCCCGATGTCTGGATGCAAGACAAGAGCTCCAAGAAAGGCCCAAAGAGCTCCAAGAGCGCTCCCAGCCTCCCTCCCCATGGAGAAAGGAGTCAGACCTCTGTTTCTTAGAGGAGTCAGATGCAAATAGAGGAGTGTAGGCCTCACAAAAAATCCTGGGGAGGGTGAGGAAAAAGAGTGACCCTGGGCTGCAGGCTAACCCACAGTTAGATGGGGTGATGGGGAGAGACAGTAGCTGGTGGAGAATGGGTTGGGCAACCAGGAAACCCCCACTCCAGTGACCCACAGATCCTGCTTACCTTCACGATGTGGGGGTTCCTCTTTGGGCTTGGGGTGCATTAGGGTGAAGGGCAGTTCTACGGCCACGTCACTGAAAAAAGACCCGGACCCAGTGAGCCTCAAGGTCACTCTCAGGCTGGAAGACTCAATGCCCTACCAGTCTGAGGCCTGGGGAAGGGTTTATGGTTGGAGGAGGTAGCTCTCAGTTGAGGCAGGGAATCCAGACTCAGGCCCCAGTTCTGTCACTCTCTGAACCTTACTTCCTCTAGAAGTTGAATTAGAAGACCTTTTCTGCTGCCTCCAAAAAGAAATGGAAACCTCCCTTTTCCTGATAAGGATCCCTGGGTTCTCATGAGCTGAGTGGAGGCAAGGGGGTGGGGAAAGGACTGCCCAGGGCCATGTACACATTGGTCCCTGGATGGCTCCAGAGGCGCCCTGGGACCCTGAAGGCCTCAGACCACTGCGGCCAGCCCAGCCTTTCCTAACACTGCCCTCCTGCCCTTCCCTCTCCCCCCTACTCAGTCCCACCTCCCAACATCTCCAGGAGGCTCTTGTAAAAGTACTCCGGGGGTGGGGGGCGCCTGGGTGGCTCAGTGGGTTAAAGCCTCTGCCTTCGGCTCAGGTCATGATCTCAGGGTCCTGGGATCGAGCCCCGCATCGGGCTCTCTGCTCAGCAGGGAGCCTGCCTCCCCCTCTCTCTCTGCCTGCCTCTCTGCCTACTTGTGATTTCTGTCAAATAAATAAATAAAATCTTAAAAAAAAAAAAAAAGTACTCCGGGGGCCCTAGCCCCCTGCCACCTGGATGATGTACAGCTGAGGTCAGTTTAGTCAAATTCAGGTTGTCTGGGCCCACGGCTACTGACATCATGCAATGAGCCTTCCTTGAAGCCCTGTAGGGATGGAGGGTCTGGGTGGGGGGTGGGGGTGGAAGAACGGGGGATGTGCTGACACAGGCCAGTGCTTCTGACCCAGACTTCCCTCTGCTGGGCCCTGACAAGCAAAATAATAACAAGAGCAGACACATGGTACTGATTCTGTGCCAAGGATGTTAAGTAGCTCATTTAATCTCCACAACAGTCCCATTATTGTACCATAGGTACAGACTAGGAAACTGAGGCACAAGGAGGAAAAATATATCACACAAGACCACACAGCTATTAATGGGAAATGAGAGACAGGATTCCTCTTCCTTCTTTCTTTTTTTTTTTTTTTGGAAGTGAGAGAGAAGAATCTGACAGCATAATTCACATTCTTACCCAACCTCTGCTCTCTACTCCTAGAGAAGCAGCCACAAAAGTGCCTCCTCTCAGCTCAGGCTGGTGTCACTTAGAAGTCCCTGTCAACTGTGACCATGTTCAGGCACAACCTCATCTTACTGACCTTTCTGCCCGGGGCCCAAGTGGCAGGGAGGAAGGGAGAGGGGAACAGAGCAGGAAGGGACAGAGGCTGTGCAACCAGAAAGGTCCATTCTCAGGCCCCCAGCAGTGTCTGGGGGGGACACTTTTATATCTTCAGGTCTCACTGAGCTCATCTGGAAAATGGGGATAACAACGCTTAACTTCTAGAACCACTAGAACTTCTAGGAGATGATGTAGGTAAAAGGTTTGATTGAACTGTGAAACTTATACCTGCCAGATTCAAGCTTTACTTCCCCTCCATGGGGAAATGGGATTCATAGATTATTGAAACAATTTGGCTCCTTTTTTTTTTCTTTTTGCTTGCCAAGCAGATTGCTTTTCCAGGTTCACTTGGAAGAGTGAACTAACAGAAGGGAAGAATGCTTTTTGTCAACCTTTGTGAAAGCCATACAGTGCATGGATGGAAAAATCTGGACATTAACCTTCCAGCACGCCATGAGTGATCAAGGGCGGTGTAGGTCTGATTCTTCCCTGGGGCCCCAGAATTGTAGCACAAGGCTGGGCATAAATCTGGATTCCAGAAATATTTACTGAATTATATTGAACTGAACTCAAATGAATTAATTTCACCTCTCCAAAGAGCCTGATTTCTTGGGGGTGAACACTACTGCCATCTGGTGACAAGATGAGGCAAAACCACTGCATGAGGGGCACATGCCTTTTTTGGAAGGTGCAAGGATCCAGGTGCTACAAGGAACCTTGTGTACAAGATCAGGACCACGGGACCTCTCCCTAGGTCTCCCTCTCCACATGGCCAGCAGTTAATTCTCATTAGGGTACAAGTCTGGAAGCCATAAAGCCTGCATTTCTCCAAAACATCAGACTGTGTGATGGGGGCCGGGGGGGGTCTATTCCCCCAGATCCAGGAAGCTGACTTTGTTATCTGCCAAGGTTCCTTTCACTTGGGAGGGATGGAAGAACAGGGCAAGGTTGTTTTAAAGCAGAAACTGCATCTCCCTAGTCCCTCTGGAAAGGATTCTAGTCCTAGCACTTATGCCGGATCCTGGCCATCGAAAGTGACTGCTAAGACTCCTCCCAACCCAGTGCCCTACAGTTCCGGATGGTCAGCCCAGGGGTCTCTGGACCCTCCAGGAAGGTGCATGGGTCAGGTTGAAGGGAGGGGCTTTACCTGGATGCAAGGTCTCCCAACAGGCTGGGTGGGTCAGAGGAGGCAGGAGAGGTGTTCAGGAGAGAGTTCAGAGAGGAAGAAAACAGAAAGCACATTCATTCACCACCTTGCTGCCCTCAGGGGTAGGGTAGACCCTGAGACGCACTCCCACCCACCGCTCTGCGGCTGTGACCTCTCATTCAGAGATACACAGAAATGGCATTAGCCTTGCCGGGTGGGGTGTGGGGTGGGTGGAGGACGGGGGGTACCGAAATCCCAGGACTCGCTGAGCCCCCAGAATCCCCCTCGGCAAAGGAGACATGATAGCCAACCCCTGTGCGGCCTGCCCTGGGGAGGCCTCTCTGACGGCAGGAAAAATCAATTTGGGATTCACCGAGGATTCCTCAAGGAAGTCGTGGAGAGTCAAAGAACACAGGATTTGGGATTTGCAATTCTGAGATGTCCTAGAACATGCGGTCAGTATTAGATAAAGCCACCTACATAGGGCATGACTCTAACGTCTAATGCTATTAGCTTGCAAATCTTTTCATAGAAATTTATGAGTCAGACAAAATGCCCAGATTCAGAATTCTAGGTTTAGGACAACATGCAGGCCCCATCTGTGGGGAAAAGTTGTTCTATCTGAGCTTCCCCCTTTTGAGGTGGGGCACAGACCATGCTCCGGGGCAGGAATATGTCTGGTCCACTGCAGTGACCCCAGTGCCCAGCCTGCGACCTGAAGTTAGGGGAGGACATTTCAGGAAATGTCTGGAGAATGGTTTGGGCCTCTGCTTCCCCATCTGTAAAATGGGAGAGTCCGAACATCCCTAATCCAGCACTGGGATTCTGAGCCCCTTTAGCCATTTCCTTAGCAGATCAGTGTGGGCATGAGCAGGGGTGGGTGCTGGGCCCCAAGACATAGTGAGGGAATAGAACCCTCTGGAGACCCCCCAGCACAGACTCTGAGGAAGCTTCTCCCACAACAACCCTATGTGTCCAGACAGGGACAGGGAGGAAGAGGAGGGGGAAGGGGGAGAGAGAGACAAGGAAAGGGCAGGGGGGCAGAGGAGGAGGAAAAGGGAGGCATGAAGGAGGAGAGAAGGAACAGGAAGTCTTCAAGCTTGGTTTACCCTCTCGATGGATGCAGCTATCAGACAGAATGGGGCAGTGGGCTGCGGGTGATCTGGGACACCCCGTTATACACTTAGGGAGTCTTGGGCTGGGCTAGAACACTCACCCGCCCCGTGATACCACGAGCTTCACTTTCACTTTGTAGGAAACAATGATGCCCAGGATTTCCCGGTTGGCTCCTTCCCTCAACCTGCAAAGTGACACAGGGAAGCAGGTTCACTGATGATCGCTGGGTAGAAGAGACACGGCAAGGGTGGGGTGCAGTGGGGGCAGTCGCCATCTGTCCCTCTCCTGGGTCACTCAGCCACCATGTGCAGAGCCCAGCATATAAGAAAGGGAAGCTTTGCCCTGAGTCGGGGGGAACCTGGGTCCCTGGGTCCCCTATCTGGCCGTGAAATTCACTCCTCGGGCACACTTGATAAGCCCCATTCCTCCCTGGGTCTGAGTCCCAGCAGCATGCGGAGGGGGGCTCCTACTACCCTTGGGAGGATGGATGTTTCTGTCCCACTACTCAGCAACCCATGGGGCACTAAGGGCTAGACAGGGAGTTCAGAGTGAGGGAGGGAGGTTGGCAAGGCAGGGGAGGAGGTACTGGGGAAGACCCAGCAGGAGGTGGCCCCTCCACCAAGTCTTGATGACTGGTAGGATTTGGGCCAGGGTGGAAGAAGAGGGCAAAGTCTTGGAGGTGAGCGGCTAGCACGCCTGTGACCAGGTGTGTGGCTGGAGCAGGGTCCACGTTGGGAGTCCAGGGCAGGGGTGCAGCAGAGGCAGGCCAGAGCCCCACAGAAAGGTCAGACCTCAGTGGATAGGGTGAGACGAGTTCCCCATACCCCAGATCTCCACGAGAGCAGGGCAGCCTCCAAGTCAGTGATGCCCACGAGACAAGAGTGATCATGTGGCCCAGGGATCCCTTTGAGGGGCACACCAACACCTGCTGTAGCCTAGCTCACTGTCCACATCTCCCCAGACTCCCCACTCACCTCCTGATCCATTCTCTCCCACCGAAGCCACTCCTTTCCTTCCAGCCTTGCTCTGCCTCAGGGACATACCCCACCTGACTCAAGACACTAGGTCAGGAGCTGCTGCCTCCTGCAGGAAGCCTCTCTGGGTTGCCTTCCTTTGGGAAGCCAGCAGATCCCAGCACTGACAGAGGGAGCTTGGTCTAGGGGCCCATCTGGCTTTCTGGGGCAGCCCTGGATAGGGATGGGAGTAAGGGGACAGTTTCCCTACAGTTCAAGCTCCTAAGGATGGGGCCAGGGACCATGCTTGGGGAGAGGATGACCACAGCATGGACAGGCACTGGTGGGAAAGAAGGTTGTGGACCCCCGGGGAGGGGGGCAGGGAAGAGGGCAGGTGGGTCCTCACAGGGTGCTGGAGGCCAAGTTCGTGTCTTCATGCTTGAGCTTCCCGTCCAGAGCGAGGCCCCGCTTCTCTCGGTTGTTGGCCAGGAATGGGGTCAGTGTGTAGACCTTGCAGAAGGTTGAACTGGGAGCCACGGTGTCACTGGGAAGAAGGGAGGCAGGTGTGGAAACACACCCCATCCCATCATCCCCATAGCCCAGTTAGAACAACTCACAGACCACAGAGTAGCATTAAAAACATGTTTGTAACTTTCCAAAATACTGAGGGCTAGATTAGTCCATAAACACACACGTACATGAAAAATGACACATAATGCACTTGCCTCCCAAAGGGAGGCAGGGCCAGGAAAAAAACAAAAACCAGATGTGTCTTCTAACAGGAGCATCTACTTCCTTCTGGTGAGAAAAGACGTTTCACTGGAGAGCTCTCCCCTTGCCTGAGTTGCTAACAAGCTTGAGACAAAACTCCAGCCCAACCACAATAGCTGCCTCTCAAACCTAAATTTTTTATATATAATTATTCTCTGCCCTCCCACAGACAACCATTTTACTCAATGAGCTGGATTAGTCTGTCATCAGACAAGAAAAGCTATGTACCTAGTGCCTTACCCTCTTTGCCCTGGCTGCCAGGAAGCTCAGAGCAAAGTCTGCCCTTTAATCTAGGTTCCCGGCACAGTGTAATTATAGCCCCAGTCCCCTTCAACTCCGTAGCTCTCATTTTGTCATTCTAGTTTGAGCAGATCTTTCCCTTGACTATAGTATGCATTTTCTTGTAGCTAAAATCAAGTGGGTGTTTTCTAAAAGGCTGTTTGGGATCATGTACCATGAGTGGCTAGGAAGTCCAAGGCCCAGCCCTCTGGCAGGTGGGGAAAAAACCACGTGCCCCTGTCCCTGCAGCCAGGGCTTCCCATTTCCCTGCCCAGCCCCACACATCCAAGGCTGGGCTTGTGCTCACTTACTCGGCCTCTTCCATGGCCACGGGGCACTTGTACTGGGCTGTGTTAAAAAGGCAGATGTCCGCGTACTGGCGCACTGGGAGGAAGAGGGAGACAAGGTGGTGTGAGCCGGGGCTGCCGCTCCCAGGCATCCCAGGCTCCCTCGACTTGGGGATGTTCATCCCTGGAGTGCACCGGGGGATCCTGCAAGAGACCACCCCATCTGCACCCGAAGCATAGCCCAAAGGCACCCTTCCCTCCCATCATCAAAACACTCCCTTGGGGACAGCTTTGCTGAGAACCCAGGGAACCTAAGAGTAGGCAGCTTATACAGTAAACTTATTACCTGGCCAATGAGCAGCCTGCATTACTAGCCTCAAAAGCCTTCCCCTTTGGCTTAGAGGAGGCCCTGGGCTTCCCCTCAGGTTGGTAGTTCTCTACAAGGCTGTTAACAAGGGGAGAGCCTTCAGCTACCCCCAACCCTTGGGAGGAGTCCCTCTTGCCCGCCCCTTGGGTTGGCCCTCTGCCCTGGATACCCGAGATCTTAATCTTCTTTACTGTCTTGTTGGTGTTGTTGGTGACGTGGACGTTAACGCTGATGGGTTCTCCATGGTAATAGATCTGGGAGGCAGAAGAAGGCAGGAGGGTTGGACCGGGGGGTACTAAAGCTCTAGACAGAGGGAGGGAGAAGAGGCCCCCCACACAACTCCTGACCACATAGACTCTGGCCACTCTGACATTGGCCTCAAGTTCCTGAGCCACGTCCCACTGATGCTAAGGCGCTGGGCAGGTTAGATCGGTGCCTTGGTGGGGTTTTGAAAGATAACTGGATTAGAAGGTGATATTCCTGGGCTCCAGTCCTGACCTGGTCACCAGAAAGTGAGAACAATAGTAATAACAATGATGAAGAGGATGAGAGCGGCGTGACCTTGGGAAAGTTACCTAAGCCTCAGTTTCCCCCTCTGCTCAGTGGAGGATTTGGACTAGGTGGTGTATCAAGTCCCTCCTGGCTCTGGAGGCCAGGAATTCTAGACTCAGGGGGGTCTGGAAGAAGCAGGAGAAAGGCCGGCTCACTGAGGAAACTGGGTCAGAATTCTCACTGAAGGACCTCAGCTCAAATCTTGCCACCAGCACTTGCCCTCGACTGTCCCCACAGAGAGAGGCATGCCCACACTGCAAAAAGGGGCGAGAGGTGCAGGAAAATGGCCAGGACCCACATCCCTTCAGGAGGTACCCTGACTTTAAAGTCGATCCCATCCTTCAGCTTCATGCTCCACTCTGCCCCTCCTTTCGGCCCCCAAGGCTTCCCTACATCCCCCAAGGGAGGTCTCCGATTCCCTGAACCCAGGAGCTCTAGTGACCAGGAGAGAGCTGAGCTGGAGGTCCCTGCCCCCAGCGAACAGCCCCCACCCCTTGCCAAGTCCAAGCCTCCTACCTCCTTGTCCAGGGAAGCCTCAAGATGCAAGGGCTTGTCCGACATAAGGAACTGTCTGGTGGTCTCAGCTGTGGGCTGGGGGCCAGGCCTCTCGGGGGCATACTGAACCTTCCTGATAACCAGGCGCACAGAATTCCTAATGGACATGGGCAGAGCAGAAGATAGGCAGAGTCACATGCCTCCATCCCCTTCCCTTGTAATCCTCCCTTCCCTGCTCAGGAGACTGCCATGGCTCCCATGGCCTTCGAATCCAGTCCAAACTGCAGAGGCAGACACAGGGGCCTTGTCACCACCCGGTCCCACTCCATCCTCCTGCCTTGTGTCTGCAGCCATCCCCACTTCCTCACTGTCATCCTAGGTCTATCTCGTCCTGTCTCTGAAGCTCTGCCTCCACTGGCCCCCCACCTGCAATACCCTCTTCCCACTTCTGCCCTCATTTAGGCATTTAGCTGGGCCTTCCTTCTTCAAGGCCCAGCTAAATGCCTCCTCTTCCGGGAAGCCGTCCTGGATCAGCTCACTTGATCTTCTCCTATCTGAACTCCCACCCCATCAGAGCTGAACCCCTGTAACCAGTCTTCAGGATGACAAGAAAGGGACTACATTTCACTTCCAGCCTCCCTTAGGTTACTTAATAGTGGCAAGCTCCTTAAGGAGATAAATTTTTATCTACATTGTTCACTGCTGGGTTTTCACCACCTATGACAGTACCTCCCATATAATGAATACCTTCCAAATATCTATTTGATCAAAATATGCAGAGGGGCCCCAGGAAGAAGTGAGGACTCAGAGAGGTGAAAGGGTTCAGTGAAGGGGTGTGGATTCAGTCAGGGGGATGCAGGTCAGTGAAGGGAACAGAGACCCAGTGAATAGATGGAGGTCCAGAGATGAGATGGGGCTCAAGGAAGGTGACAGGGGCTCAAGGAGGAAACGAGGACACAAGGATTCGGAGGGGATGGGACCTGGTGAGGCAGTGTCTGTGGCGTGCTAGGGGACCCGGCATCCCTGTTGCTCACCTTCACTCCCTGGAACCGGACAGCCAGGCTTAAGGCCTTAGCTCTTCCCTTACTAACTATACCCCCTTGAGTAAATTCACCTCTGGGTCTGTTTCCTCATCTGTAAAATGGTAATAATAGCAACACCTCTTTCCCAGGGTTGCTGAGAGGATTAAATTAGTTCGTACATGTTTGTCACTCTGAATAGTGTCTGGTCCTTAATAGGCCCTTGATAAATGATAGTTGCTATATCATCATTAGTATTAACTCTGGTATGGACTTAAAATGTGCCATTACGGTGAGCTGAAGACAGTAGCCCTCAGTGTTGTTCCTCTTCCTTGCTCTAGTCAGGCCCCCTTCAAAAAACCACACCCTCCCTTCTTTCCCCTGTTTCGGGTCTTAAGAGGAAAAGAAAGACAGAGAAGCAAGGGAAAAAAAAGTGCCCCATCTCCCGACACCCCAGAGTTGCCCAGGCTGGAAAGGGAGATGCCTGCAATACACTCTCCAGCCTCCAGGTGGCAAGCTCAGCCCACTTCCTAGGAAGTTGCCGCGCCTGCCCTCAGCCAGCCTCCCATAGGATCACTGACTGCCTGGTGAAGTGGGTTCATCAGAGCTGGGGGCTGAGGCCAGCCTCACCAGGAGGCAGGGCAGGGCCTGCCTTGAGGAGGAGCAGGCCTGAGAGCAGGGCTGGGCAGTCCATCTCAGAAGTCAGGGTCAGCTCTTTCCAGCTGCCAGCCTGGGCTCTCTGCCCAGGGCTGTGCCTCTCCAGGAAAACGCTACCTTCTCGGACATGTGGACTGACTTTCCCCCTCACTCTCCCCAGAGGGGCTTCTCCGACTACAATTCCCTCCCTTGCTTAGAAATTTCCACTGACCCCATAACCAGCCCCCACCACCCGCCCAACCACCACCTGCTGCTAATGGCCCCCCAGGAAGAGAAGTGAGAAGTGGGGGTCTAGGATGGCTGGGAAAAGTCTTGCTCACTGTTAAAAACAATCCGAATTTTGTTTCTTTCTGAAACAAAATAAAGAGCCATGCAGTCTGGTGGGGCAAACTGAAAGGCAGGGAGCTGGAGGAGGGGGTTTCGGTGGTGTAAAGGGAGAAACACTGACGCCTGAGCCCAAGTCCTTGGACCACCTGCCCCAGGAAATGTTCCATGACTCGCCAGCCTTCCAGAGCACCCGTCTTGGGGTTCCTGAGGCTGGAATGCGTGGCCCCTCCTCGCACACTTCCTGGTATTGTTACTTATCTCTTCAGGCTTTGCTGGCCCTGTCTCTTTCCCACTGCCAGCGGGCAGCCCACACCCCACAGAAGCTGCGCCCTTCTCACCGTTTGTGGATCTTCTCCTCCAGGTTCTCGGCACAGAAGGCTTTGACTTCATAGTCCACACCGCAGGCCTGAGGGGAAGCAGCTGCTGACCACAGGGTCTTGGACAGGGCAGGGTCCCCACATCACAGCCAGCTCCCTCTCATTTTACAAACCAGGGCACTGGATAGGAATACCCAACCCCACAGCCTGGTACGCAGCCTGACTCAGGACCCGGGGTCAGCCCCAGCACTGCGCTGCCTCTGGGGGTGGCTGCCTCCCCCACTTGACCTTCCCACAGAGCTCTCCCAGCACTGCCCCCCCGCCCGCCCCGCCTCTGGACATCCCAAACTATCCTAACTGGGCTCTACCCTCAGACACCTGACTGGTCTGGGCAGCTGTCCTCATGGAGGCAGCCACCCGGAAATCACAACGGATGCCTCCACAGCCCTGCCTGGGGAGGGACATACTGTGTGCAGACCATCGGGCGCTTCAGGGCCTCACTCCACCCTCTCAACCACACAGGGCGGCGCATCCTACTGTGCCCATTTTTCAGATGAGGAAATGGGGGCTTAGATCTAGGGCCTGCAACACAAGGGGTGTCACCTCTTTTGGGACCTCAGTTTCCCTACTTGTGAAACCAAAACGAATGCACCCCCATGCAAGATAGTGAGGCCAGGTGGTAGTTCAGAGAACATTTTGGTTTTGCTGCAGCCAAAAACCAGCCCAGGAGAGATGACACGTAACTGAATGCAGGGGGCAGGGGAGTGACACCCTCTCTGTATGAGAAGAGACTGCTTATTTGAGGCGGTACTGAAGTGGCCTAGACACAAAGAGGCTCCCACACAGAGGGGTCCACGCCTCTCAGAGAGCAAGCCAGGGCCCTGATGATACAAATGTCCTATGCCCAGAGAGAAGCGTCCAAAGACGTGACCCACCTTCCCTGTGTCTTCAGGCCCCGGCTGCAATGTCACGGAGCACGGGAGGTTTGGAGGGATCTGTTAAGAGGACAGACAGAATAGGTCTCCTGTCACATTGACCCCTAAGCTCCCCATGTTGCCCACCCACCACCCCCATACATGTTCGTCACACCAGGGGGCCCCTAGCAAGAGGCCATGTCAGACTAGGGGCTCCAGAGGACAGACGATGTCTCCCCTGTCAGATCATCCCAAGGATACCCCACACTGGGCCAGAAGCCCCTTCGGCAAAGCCAAGGATGTCAATGCTTTTCTTTGTCTAACAGGTCACCCCTAGCTTGTGGTAAAGACAGAATAAGAGCCACCCCCCTACGTCCCCCTTCCCTCGCCAATGATGCCTACGTTCTAATCCCCAGAACCTCTGACTGTTAGTTTACATGGCAAAGGGGACTTTACAGGTGTTAAGGATTAAATTAAGGATCTTGAGACGGGGAGAGTATCCTGGGTTATCCAGGTGTGCCCGATGTAACCACAAGGGACCTTAGCAGGGAAAGCCGGAAACAGAAGTGTCCATGTCAGAGTGGCGGGCTCGGAGATAGACTGGCCAGCCACTGCGGGCTTGCAAGACAGAGGCGTAGGCAACGACCGGCCAAGGAACACAAGCAGCCTCTAGAAATTGGAAAGAGTGGGGCCTAGAGCCTCCAGAAAGAATACAGCCCGGCTGACACCTGGATTTTAGCCCAGCACAACCTGTGTTTGACTTCTACCCTCTGAAATGTTAAGCTCATCCATGTGTGTTTTCACGGTCATGTTTCATTCCCCCCAGGTTGGCGGTGGCTCATTACGGCAGCCACAAGAAACCAATACATGTACGCTGGACGGAATGACTGTATCCTCCCTCCCACTCTAGCTTCCCAGAAAGCCGGCGGATTTCACTGAATCACAGAATCGGAGTCTGAGAAACAGGAAATTTTAAAACCGAGTCTGGGAGCCTTTCTATTCGGAAAAGGGGCAGAGCAGGGAACTCGCTACGTGCCATGCCTCGTTTATGAGCCGGGCTGGAGAAGCCAGGCGTGTGGCTGGTCTGAAGGAGGAGGCAGTCGGTAATGACTCAGGGGCAAGACAGGGCTCCCTTCTTTTTCCGCAGCCTCTCCCCCACCGATGAGCTGGACTCTGGAGGCTCCAAGGAGGAGCTCAGAGGTAAGGTGACACCCTGTCGGTGGCCAGAGAAGAGACACTTACCAGGCAGGATCAGTGACAGCACCCCAGGTCCCAATGTACACTGAGAAACTGAGGGCTGCCCTCATGTGCCTGCCCACAGGGCTTCCTGGGGGGGGGGGGGGGGGGGGGGGGCGTGGCTGGCCCTAACCTCAAAGGTGAAAGGATAGGCATGTTCGCCCAACTTCTTGATGAGGCGCTCCTGCAGCCGCGTCAGGGCCTTCTTGTCCTCAGGGGCTGGTGGGAAGGACTGCACGTTGGCCACAAACAGGTCCTTGCGAAAGGTCAGGCCCAGGACATCCAGGTCCTCCCGGCCATAGCGAAAGGCGCAGGTCAGTGTCACATAGACTGTGGGAGTAGGGGATGCTGAGGATGGGCCCAGAGGGCAGCAAACAAACCCCCCCCAACCCCCCGGCACTCCAGAGCACCAGCTGAGCCCTGGGACTGGCCCAATGGGAGTTCCCAGGTCTGTCCCAGAGCTCTGTAGGAAAGGCTGTGCTACCCTGGGAATGGGGGAACCAGGTACCCAGGGGAGCCACTCAAGCCTGGTCCCAGGGGTGGGGGAGGTAGGGTCTGACTACTGGATCGGTTCTGTCCTTCCCCACCCCCCACTCCCACCCACTCTGGCCAGTGGAGTGCGCAGGAGCACGGGAGATGGTCTGACAGGGTTGGTGAGGGCTGGAGTAGGCTGGCAGGATTGGGGTGGGCGTGGCTGGGGAAGAGTTGTGGCTGGAGAGAGCGGGGGGGGGTAGGGGGAAACAAGTGCTGAGTGGTGTCTGGGAGGCACGGGGTTTTGTCCTAGCTCAACCTCCACCCTGTGTCTTCCTGCAGACCCTGGACAATCCCTTTACCTCCATGGGATTCAATTTTCTCATCTATAATGAGACCCTTATTCTTGACCTATTGGGCATCCTGGCCTTGCAAAAGTCACGATATATTGATGTTAGCATGCTTGGGGCACTGACCAGGTTCTTCTAAAATGGGCATGGGTGGACTGCCCAGGCCAGAGGAGGCCAGGGCACCTGCTCTGATGTTCGTTGGAGCTGCAAAGGGAAGAGCCAGTGGGGCTGGGCAGGTCAAGGCCGCAGAATTAGTTAATGTCCTGCCTGGACAGGAACTCAGGGAGGCCCTGGGCTAGAGGTCAGTGGGGAATAGGAGGCCCCGTCACAGGCCGGAGGTGGGGCCTACCACCTCACCTCTCCTCTCCTTGAGATACTCAGGATCCACGAGGACCACACCATCTGGAAGAAGGACAGAGAGTAAGCACACCCTCCCAGCTCAACCTCTCAAATTCCTGAGCCCCAAACACCAAGCCAAACCTGAACCTAACTATCCCTCTGTCGGAAAGCCTCAGGAGAGACATGGGGAGGCCATCACCCAAGGGAGGGCGCTGCCGTGCCCCACCCCCTCCCTGCAGGCTGGACTTATAGGCCCAGCAGGTCACTTAGGGCAGGTGACTGCTCTGTTTCTTCCCTGTTCATAAGAACAATATGGGCCCAAAACTGCTATGATCAGGTGTACTTTAGAATTTTGAGGTTCTGAACTGTGGAAAGGCAACAGGGTACATCGTCCATATACTCTGTAACACCCTCTGCAGGATCTGGGCTCAAACCCATTAACACCACTGCAGGGAAATAGGAATATTTTCATCAAGAGGCTGAAGTATAAAGACCTTCCTGTTAGTTCAGGTCAGGTTTTGCCACTAAATGAATCCCATGTCAAACTTAGGAACGAGTGCAGACTTCTAGAGATTTCGGATTTGGGATTTGCCATCAGAAGTTGCAATCCTGTAGAACCAACCTCCCAGGGCTGCTGTGAAGATGGAGTTAATACATCTAAGGCTGAGACGGTATCCCGTTCATGTGATCCCACAGAGAATGTCCCCAGGCCTGACCGTGGCCATGTAGAGACCAGCTGGACACAAAGGACGTCTTCTCCCCGCAGGACTCCAGGAGGCCAGAAATACAGGCTCAGGGCTTGCCTCCTTGCCTGACATCCCGTCACCTCTGGCCGAACCTCACCCAGCCATACCCATGGAATAAGCAAAATGTTCTCTCCCCAGCTCTCATCCACCGCTACCCTCTCCCTACCACCCACACAGCAATCTCTCAGGGAATCTCAGGGTACCACATCTGGAAAAGAGTGCCGGAGGGCTCCTGGTCCTATCCAGCCCTGGGCGGGCCCAAGGGATACCTGATCAGGGGAGTGTCCACCCTGTCCCCAAACCTGCCCATCTTCTCTCCTTCTGCCTCTGTCCCTGAGCACCAGGGGCTCTGCACAAAATCCGGGGAGAGGGCACTCCCACAACCAGGGGTGTCAAGGAAGGCTTCCTGAAGGAGGGAAGCAGGAGCCAGGTCTTAAAGGGCAGTATGGGTCTCCAGTTAGATGACCATGGGGCATAACAAAGCGGACAGGGGGAGGGTGTGGCTCTGAGGCTTGGGAGAGTAGATCCTGGGGGTGCTGGAGGAAGCAGGGCCAGGCCTGACCAGCGGCATCCTGTCTATAAGATGAAGGGGGGTGGTGACGGGAGGCTCAGACTTGCCCTGGAGCCTAACAGGGAACCCTAGGGGATAGCTATGCATTGGGAATTCATAATCATCCTGATGTCATGATGGGCAAGATATTTTCTCTCTGTGGATCATTTGCTCAACTCTGGACAGTGTCCCAGAGTTCTCTGGGATCCCCAGGGCCCAGCACAGGGCCTGGCTCAAAGTAGCTGCTCTGCTCTGAGAACACTGACCAAATAGTTCTCGGGGTGCCTGTGTGCACCAGAGGAGCTGGTTCCCTCCTGCTCCTTCCCTGCCCCCAGCCTCAGTGCCACCCCGCTGCTGTCCTTAATAGGCCAATGGGTAGGGACAGCCCTGGCCCCAGATAGTCTGCCGGAAACTGTGCTTTGTAGCAAGCCATAGATAAACACTGGGATGCTTGCTCACTGCCTCCAAGAGGCAGCTTACAGAGGAGATGAAAATGGCAGAGGGGACAGGGTCCCCAGACAGCACAGGGGAGGAAAAGTGGGGTCATCCTACTCCAGGCCAGGAAGGGAGGGCCTAATGGGGGGCTGACTTCCCTGAGCCACAGCCCTGCACACACCCCCTCAGCAGAGGGACCCCAGGGACTCCCCAGTTCTCCTGCCCCCACTGTCACAAAGGGATTCCTCCCAGTGAACCAAAACCTGCCAGCTGTGCTCTCTCTCCCACCTCGGCTCTGGAACCGCACGCTCACTTCTGCCCTCTGGCCCCAGGACAACTCCAGGGATATGTGACAGAGGCCACATTCTCTGTGAATGTTCCCCACGTAACACATCTAGTTTCTTCACCTGGACTTGGCCTCAGGCAGTTTCCAGTGTCCATCCTCCCCATCGGTCACCTCCTTTGGCCTTACTCTGGTTTGCTCTCGTCCCTCTGAAATCAGAGCCGCTTTGGGCCTCACCGTCCCCCTATGTGAAACAGGGATAATTCTGGGCCTCCCTCCCTCCCTCTTATAGATGTGGAAAAAGGCAGTAAGGTCAGGCTCTTCTAATGAGAGCTATGGTTCTTAGAATCCTAACCAGGGTTGACTGTACCTCCTAAGAGGAGATCTGGCAATGTCCAAAAACATTTTTGATTGTCCTCCTGGGATGGAGAGGGTAGTCCTAAGGTCTAATGGCTAGAGCCCAGGGATATTGCTAACCAACCTACAATGCACAGGACAAAGAATCACCCAGCCCAAACTGTCCAGAGTGTCGAGGCTAAGAAAACTTGACCTAGAGTAAGACTTTAAAAGGTGACTTTAGCCCCAACCCGGCCCATGCCAAGACCCCCATGTGGGTGAGTACAGCCCCCATTTCATAAGCCCCAAGGTTTTCTTCCCACCTTTGCCATCAGGATGCAGCAGAACAAAGATTCTGTGGACCCAGGCCGCCCAGGTTTGAATCCAGGCTCCTCAAACCACTAGCTCTGTGACCTGGAGGAAGTCACTTGATGTGTCTCATTCTCCTCAGCAGCAAAGCAAGGATAATCATGGAGCTACCCCAGTGTCTGTGTGTAATGAGCCTCGCACTGGTGGCTGCTCACCATCCTCACGATCATCTGGCCACGCTCCGGGCTTCCCCCCTCAATCCACCTGCACTTTCCCCTCACATAATCCTCACTGAGGGACAAGGAGCTGCTCAGTAAACATGGTATATGCTTGCCAATGGTCAAAGGAAGACACTCACACCCTGTTCTTGGTGCCAGGCCCGTCTGGAGACCTGAGGTCCACTCCCGGGTGCCTTTAACACTCCCTTCCCTAGAAGGGACCAGGTCAGCTCCACCTTTCCCCACCTTCCTCCACAGCCTACAGACACTCACCCACAGGGTCCACGAGGTCGATGTGGTCCACAAAGTCCCGCTTTCCCAGATAGACAGTGAGCTGGGGAAGAGAGGCACAGGGGACATTAGCAGCTGTGGACCTGGAGGACACATCCCTGAAAAGCCCCCGGCCCTTGCCCGGGAGGAAACCCTGGGAGCTGCTTCTGCAACCACTAAACCCAACCAAAGCCCACACTGCAGTCTACACTGGACTTGGACCTGAGCTCCAGCCCTAATACGAACCAAACCCTTGTACAATTTTGAAAGTGCCTATTTATCCTAAACCCCTTCGAAGCAGTTGTTACTGTTCCCATTTTACAGATGAGGACACTGAGGCCTGAGATCTTCACACCAAGATTGACTGCTGAGCATCGAGCAGCAGCAGCAAAGAAGTCTGCAGCCCGGGAGGTGCTGGGCACATCTCCGAGACAGCAAGGGCAACCCAGAGCGGGCTCAAAGGCTCACAACCCTGAGTTCCATGCTCCTCACTGCTCCTTGCCCCTGTGCAGTCTGGCCGGGCTCCATTCATCCTAGGATTGGTTTTTCGAGGCAAATGAGGAACGGGGAGCCAGTGCCCTGCTGGGAAGACCCTCCAGAGCTAGGATCCAGAGTGTCATGCCAGACACTTCGTGTTCCTGCACAGTCCCTGCATCGTGCTGAGTCCCCCCTCACCCCCATCTGTCTCGGTCCAACCCTCCTCCTCCCCACAGCCTCCGTTGCCTGGACAATGCACCAGACACACCAGCCCCCTTCGTGGCCTGAAGCCGGTGGCCTCACATGCTCTGGACTGGAGGCCTTTCTCCCCTCCTTAGCCAGACTGGTTTTCCTAAAATGCAAATTCAGTGCTGTCACTCCTGTCTGAAAACCCTCTAATGGTTGCTGTGCCCAGAGGTGATGACAAAAGGGTTTCATTCCAAATGCCAGCTCTGATAGGTCAGGGGGGCTGCCTAGGGACTCTGGGCGGAGAAGGCATCTAAGATGGAATCCTGGCTCAGCAGGAAAGGGCAAACAGGGATGCATGATATCTCCCTGGGAGCAACGCTGTGCTATCTGCCAGCCCAGGCCATGAGTCCAAGCTCCTGTACCCGGCAACCGCCTCCCCTCAGCTCCCACTCCCCCAGCCTCCCTCTGGGCATTCCGATTCAACTGCTGTTGATGCCCCCACACTCCCGGTGAGTTATATTCATGCCTAGAATGCCCTTCTTCACCCTGCCTTGCCTGGATACGCAGCCTCTTTGGAGAGAAGCCATCCCTGACTGCCCAGGCTGGGTCCTGCCATCCCCAGGCATCCCTTGATCTCACCCCTGCTGCTGCACATTGAAGTAATGGGTGTCTGTGTCTGCCTCCCCCGTCTGGCCGGGAGTGGCCTGAGCCGTGCCTCATTTGTCTCAGTATATCCTGTCCCGGGCTCCGCCGGCCAGGCCTGTACCCGACAGGGAATGATGTCAGTAATATCTATTTGCTGAACTGAAAGGAAAGCAGGATGGAGCCTGGGGCCTGTGGAAAGAAAGCAGGGCAGGCCCTGGGAGCTGCTTCAGAAAACTAGGTGAAGCCATAGTTCAGAGGAGAGGCTCTAGTGGCCTCTCACACCAGGGGACCCAGTGCTTCTGAGGCCCTTGGCACTTAGTCTAATGACCACACTTGCACTGAAGTGTCTCTAAGAGAGGCTGTGCCTCAGCCTGGAGTAGGGGCTCCCTGAAGTCCAGGGGAGTCGGACTGCCCCCCTCAGACAAAAAGTTCCCTGAGAGTCCCTCCCCTGTGGCAGACAGCTCCTAGGGACTGACGGGGCTGTGCGGGGGTCCTGCATGGGCAATAGAAATACCCAAGAGAGGATAAGAATGTGGGGCCAGGGAGGAGCTGGGGTGCGGTTGTTATGGACTCACCTTTCCATTCGGGCTTGCCTTCTTGAACACCCTGTGGACAAAAAGAGGAAGTTAGGATTAGTGCATCCCGCCAGGGGGAAGGCCCCCACATGCCATCCCTCAGCAGGACAGAGGACAAGCACCTGGAGTGATCTTCAGTCAGTGACAAGCCTTGAGAGCCAAAACAGCGTCTGGTGTCATCAGATCTTACCATCTCCGGTGCTACCCCACCCAAGCCTCCGTTAATTGCCATTGTAGCTCTCGTGGGATCTGCCGTGGCCCCCTCAGCCTCCTCTTCACACAGCAGGCTGAGGGGCTCTCAAAAGACATGTCAGGCCTTGCCACTCATTTGCTCAAAGTCCTCCCAAGCTCATGCAGAAGAAAAGACCTGTGAGAGTGGTCTTCTCTGCCTCCTTCACCCGTGGGCATCAGCTCCCACTCTCTCGCACCCTGCCAGTCACAGTGCCTCCCTGCTGTTCCTCCGACTCACCAGGGTGGGTCCTGCCTCAGGGCCTTTGCTCGAGCAGTACCTGCCCAATCACAGATCTGCTGGCCCAGCCCCATGCCTTCTGTGATGGGGCTTTACCATGGCCTTGCCCCACACTCCCTCTCCTCCTCTGGCTCTGTTTACTTTCCCACAGCACTCAGCACTTGCTAACCTACTCTCAAGTGACTTGCTAATTTATGCCTGTCTGGTCTGCTAACATGCCAGCTCCATGAGGCAGACAGCCTGAACTTTCTTCTCCACGGATGTGTCCTGAGTCCCTAGAATGGTGTCCCTAGTAGGCGTTTAATAGATCTGTGTTAATGCATGGCAGGTAGCAAGCACTTGACAAATATTAGTTGAGTGGGCGCTGAAGGAATCAGTGAAGGAATCAACTGAGAGACTGAGGCCCAGGAAAGACAGGGGATGGGCCCCTGGCCACAGAACAGAGCACTGGACACCGAGTCAGGTAGACACGCAGCCCCCAACTCCTGCGAAGTGCTCTCTGGGCCTTCTAGAGCACACTGCAGTATCCACCAGCCCCTATCCTCTCCCCCAGCTTGGTCTGGGAGCCCGAGACCCCCTCACCTAACCCCATCATCTAGCTCCAGAATTGCTCAGAGTAATGTTGGGAAGAGAGAAGAAAAAGCAAGGAGGCAGAGACCAGAGAAGTTACTGGAGGAAGGAGGGAAGGAGGGAGAGGAGGGGAGAGGGATGCTGCCCTGCAGGTGTGAGCATAACAGATGGAATGAGAGATGAAACAAACCAGCCAAAAACCCAGAGCATGGAACAGGCCCCCAGGAGCAGGAAGTGCAGCAGGCCACCAGGGCAAAGTGGGGTGAACTCCACAGTGCCATGGGGACAGTCGCTCCTCCTTGAAGGGGTGGGGGGTGGCTCTGCTCTGCCTCCTTGGACCCCACCACTCCACCCCCACCCTAACATCTAGGGCGCAAGGGACCACTGAGAGGGCTGAGCTTGGCTTGCAAAGAAGGCACTGGCACTTCTCTCCCCTCCACCTACCCTAGTTCTGGGCTTTTCTCCTCCTCATAAATATTTATCAGTGTTTGGAGTGTGAAAATGCCACAGTCAGCTCGGGTGTAATAATCGCTAAAGTGAGAAAAAAATACAGATCACACAGTTTGAACCAGCAGCTCCCAAGCTAGGGCTGGACCTGTGTCCAGGAGACCAGAGAAGTCACAGGGATTCCCAGCTGCTTCCAGAAACCTCAGCCCACCTCTCGGGAGCCTGGGGCCTGACTGAAAGGAGAGAACACAAATGCCTGAGTTCTAAGTGAGTCAGGGAAAGCCACTGAGGTGATCCTGGAGAGGAGCGAGGGGCATCCTTACCACAGGTGGGGGCTGGGGTCCAGGCCAGGATAAGCAATAGTCGAGAAGGGAGGGAGGGAAGGAGGAAGGGCAGTAAGACAGATAGAACTAGCATTTGTTGAGTGCCTAATTAGTTCTTTCTCCTAACACACTGTAAAATGGGCATTGTAACTCCCATTTTACACATAACGAACTCAAGGCTCAGAGAGATGGAGCAATTTGTCCAGGAACACAGCGCAAGCCAAGAGTCTAAGTCAGGATTCAGACCCAATTCTGTCTGCCTCCAGAGGCTGAGTACTTTATATCCAATTCTGCTGCTTTCTTAAAGCAGGTGTTTTTTTTTTTTAATTTTTTATTTTTATTTTTTTTCTTTTATCAGCTTCGGGGAAAAGCAGAAAACGGGAAATGAGTCTGGAGAGGGGAGGGGAGGGCAAAGGGACGAAAAGGTGCATATGGGGCGAGAAGGTGAGTTAGGGCAACGAGGGCAGGAAACATGGCCAGTGGTGGGGAATGTCCTGAGCTAACTCAATCAGCCCCCAGGGCCACCTCCTCAGGAAGCCTGGACTCTGACAGCTTCCTCAAACAACAACAGCAGCCTCCCATGCCCGAGTCCATGTTCTGCCCTAGTATTGCCTCTCCGTAATTTTCCCAGGACACTGCTGATCCTTCAACAACCCCATTTCAGAGATGAGGCAACTGAAGTTCTGGAAGGTCAACTCTGGTTGTATGTCTCCAGAGCCCATGTCCTATCTGCTTTGTTGCATAGCCAAGGCCTCCCTGAAACAACCCCACTGGCTTCCTGACCCCAACACTGTCAGGAAACCACCCCCCCCCCACGCCCGCAGCGTGTGCTTCTGCCTGTCTACCATGAAGGGCAAGGACACACGTGCAACACTGTGGGCTAGCTGGGTTTGGTCCACCACCCCCTACCCCCTCAGACCCATCCATGCCCCACCAGCCTGATTCTAAGAGTCAAAGCTGAGTCCCGTGTAAGAGAAACACCGGGGGTTGGTTCTAGAAGACTAAAGCTCCCTGGAGACAAGGAACAGAAACCCAGCGAGGGTGGCTAGAGAAAAGGAGGCGGGAGGAGAATAAGGAGACAAAACTCTCACGGGAAGGACGCGCAGGCAGGACGCAGGAGTGCTGGAGCCACGAATGGGGAAGCCATCAGCCTCTCGGGTGGTAGCTCTCTCTCCGCCTCTCCCCATGGGGCTGCATATTCTCGGGGCTGTGCTGTTCTCCGATCGGCCGCTCCATTGTCTCTGGGGACCAACTCTCTCTGCTTACTCAGGCGTTTTCTGCTCCTCCGTCATTCTGGCTGGCATGCGGCTCACTCCGACCCTGTTTCTACTCAGCCTCTCACTCAGCTTCACACTGTTAACTGGCTGAATGGCCCAATTCCAAATTCCCAGGAGAGGAATTTGATTGATCAGCTTTGGTCAGGTGCCCCCCTGCCTAAACCAATCAGCTATATCGAGGGCGTGTCATGTGTTCCATGAGGGTTCGCCGAGGAGGGTCTACAGAGCAGTGTTTTACTAATCAGGGCGTCGCAGCCCATTAGTGAATCACGAAATTGACTTAAAAGAGTTGCCACCAGCACTTTGTTGTTTTGTTTTGTTTTGTTTTCACGGACTAGAATAGAAGACATCAGAGAGACACACAGATAGCACCGGTAGAGCAGATATGACTATATTCATCAATATGCCATTTCCCTGTAAAGCTGGGCACGTTTCTCCAGTCCTATGAAGTTAGGCATGCCCACGTGGCTTGCTCTGGCCAACAAGAAAGGAGTAGAAGTGTCACATGTCACTTCAGGGGAGAAGCATATAAGGGTAGTGCACGTTTTTGTTTCCTACAGAGCTTGTGACAAATGACTGCAAACTTAGCAGCTTAAAACAACATTCTGATTTGATTCCCTCAGGGTTGTGCTCCCAGGTGGGCAGACAGGTCAGCTCTCCAGTAACCAGAACATTGTCTTTTCCAATGAGTCCCGTTCCCCACCTGTAGCAGGGGATACCTTGAATATTCTGCTGCCTTTTTGTGAGCCACCTGGCCTCCCAGTGTTCCCTTGTGCCTGCATCATGAGGGGCCCATGATAGATTAGCCAAAAACCAAAAGTTTATGATTCTGTGTGGTGCAGCTCAACAATGGAATATTACATAGCACTAAAATTATTCTTACATCTTTTAAACACAAGGAAATGCCTATGATAGAACATTAAGCAATGTAAGTTAGGATTCAAAACAACATATTTGGCATGAGCTCAACTTTATATTCAAATATACCAAAAGAAAGAATGAGAAGACTTAATGTTAAGATGGCAATACTTCCCAAATTGATCTATAGATTTAGTGTAATCCCTATCAAAATCCCAGCTGGTTGTTGCTGTTGTTGTGGTTGTGGTTGTTGTTTTCCAGAAATGAACAGGCTGGGGCACCTGGGTGGCTCAGCTGGTTAAGCGTCTGCCCTCAGCTCAGGTCATGGTTTTGGGGTCTGGGATAGAGCCCCACTCAGGTGGGTGGGTTCCCTGCTCAGCGGGGAGTCTGCTTCTCCTATTCCCTCTGTCCCTCCCCCTGCTTGTCCATGCTTACTCGCTCTCTCTCCCTCAAATAAATAAATAAAATCAAAGAAAGAAAGAAAGAAAGAAAGAAAGGAAGGAAGGAAGGAAGAAAGGAAGGAAGGGAGAGAAAGCTGGCCCTAAAATTCATATGGAAATGCAAAGGTCCAGAATAGCCAAAACAATCTTGAAAAAATATAAATTTAGAGGATTTATACCCCCAAGTTCAAAACATACTACAAAGCTACAATAATTAAGACTGTGTGAGGCTGGCATAAAGATAGACACAAAGATCAATGGAACAAAATTGAAAGTCCAGAAATAAACCCATATATTTATGGTCAATTGATTTTTGACAAAGGAGCCAAAGCAAGTCAATGGGGGAACAAAACACAAAACAGTCTTTTCAACAAATGATGTTGGGACAACGGGATATCCACATGCCCCCCCCCCCCAAAATTAGACTCCCTACCTCACACCATATATGAAAGCTAACTCAAAATGGATCAAGGACCTTAATCTAAGAGTTATAACTGTAAAACTCCTAGAAGAAAGCCTAAGTGTAAATTAACATGACCTTGGATCAGGCAATGGTAACCTTACATATAATAATACCAAAAGCATAGACAACTTAAAAAAGAGATAAATTGGAGTGCCTGGGTGGCTCAGTGGGTTGGGCCTCTGCC